TCGCCCTGATCAAGAATATATATACTTTGTGGGGTCTGCCACGCCTCCTTCTGCCCGTTACATACTTTTTCATAAAACCAATATACCCTGATTTCCCATTTTCAATGGGTTCCAGGGTGTAAAAAGACCGAGGATCTGGCATTAACAATTGTTAACAAGTAACAAGGCTCTAGTCGAGTCTGCTCGACTAGGAGATACTCTGAACTCTCCATCTGATATTCTAATCCTTTTGCACTTCTTTTATGCACACATACATACACATGCATCCACAAGCACGCATAGGGACACAAAAAAAGTATCGATATTTCTGGTATCGGTTACATTGGGGTGATGATACCGATATTCTGTACTCGATCTTTTGGTGTCGATATTTGTACTTATCAAGTATCTCCAGAGCCATATCGATTAAAAACGTACGCGGGACCATGCGAAACTCGCCAGTAAATTTGCGCTTGATTTGAGACTCCATTGAGTCATTAAAAAAAGTTTTTAAAAATATTGTCACAAATCTATATATAATTTAATGGAAAAATAAAACCAAAAAAGTTTTACAAGTGATCTTAATTTAATAAGTTTAATAAGCCCGTGCTCTGCCAAGTGTGGGCAATATTATGAGAATTTATGTGTCGAATTATTTAATTTCTAGACGTACGATCTTAATGATACTTTCAGAACTTAATCATAATGTTTGAAAGTATGTACATTCCAAAACACAAGTCTCTCGTACTTTATGGGGTCTGCGGTGATTCCTTCTGCCCGTTACACACATTTCAACAAAACCATTATACCCTGATTTCCCATTTTCAATAGGTTCAGGCTGTAAAAATATCCCTTAACTTATCTGAAAATGTATGAATTAGGATTATTTTACTTATAAGAGAGGTATTTATTGACAAAAAGGAAAAAAAACCATTTGTTTGATGTATGACCTTTTTGTGCACAAAAAAAGTGTTAAGCTACCTAAACGCAGGTCAAAAAAGTTTAGGTACACTTCGTCTGACCCATTTACAGTTAAGTAAACTTTAACATTTTAAACGGTATATTACCTTTTATTCTTTATTTCGAGTCACATACTTGAATTATTATGTATTGCAATTTCAGTATTGTCATTTTTGTTTGCGTAATTGGTCAATATGGGTCGAGGAACGCAAATCCCACTAGAAACGCGTCGCCCTGATCAGGAATATATATACTTTGTGGGGTCTGCCACACCTCCATCTGCCTGTTACATACATTTTAACAAAACCATTATACCCTGATTTCCCATTTTTAATGGGTTCAGGATATAAATACTGATATATTGCATACAGAGATGAAGTAAATCATAAAATTTAGAGCATTGTTACTGTCACATCAAGTACTACTTGAAACCACATCGACAGCCACATCTAAAACGCCGCTCTCTTTCTTTCTATCTCTCCCTCTGTGTGTATGTGAAACCGGCATTAAATGTGAGTGAATGTGACAGAACAAATAGATGCTGATAGCTCAGAGACATGCCGCAGGTCGAAACTTAGGTCCAGTCCAAAGCACACGTCACTTGGCTAGCAAACTGCAATGTGCTGACAGCACAACAACAACAGCAACAATAATATAAACAACGGCTTAACCATGGGGTGGGGTATACGGTACACGATAAAAATAGCCGAACACAAACTACAATAACAAATACAGCACTCCTCAACGATAGGACGTTACATGGGTGAATAGGGTAGGCCAACAGCGCGACAGAGAGACACTCTTCCATAGTTAAATATGGTAGAGGCAAAGCAGATAAGGCTCAAATGGAGTAGAGCATGAGGTTTGCCAGATACAATTTTATAAATATGTATTTTGCGCTTTCTATATTTATGCACCCCAACAACACTCGTAACCATATCGCCCTATCCCCAACTGCTGTCACCGCTGTCACCACTGCCACCCCCACGAGCTTGGCGTTTAATGAAGTGTCATCGCCTGTAAAATGAGTCTGCAAATCGCATTAAAGTAACTACTCCCGGTTAGGGGTAAGCCTGCCTGTCTGTTTGTCTGTCAGACACGACAGCAATTCCCTTTGCCTGAGGCTGCAGATTAAACGGGCTACTGTTACAGTTACTTCATGTTTGTTTGGCTCACCCAAATAGTTAAGGGAAACACGCGGTCGGACTTCATGCACAGATTTTATTTTTAGAAACTTTGGGGCGTATGTGGTTAAACTAATTAGATCTTTGTTAAATGTTAGAAAATTATATTTTACCTGCTATGCCATCGTCAGTAATCAATCACAAGATCTACAATTTAAAATATCTAGTCGTGCATAAAAGTTAGACCATGTTTTTCAATCAGTCAAAGTAATTTAAATTTTAAATATATTTGGTCACTGGTCTGTCATCAACTATAAGTTATAGCTTTTTACTCATTTTTACCTTTTTAATACGTTTGAGCGTAAAATGAATAGGAGGTGCTATTATTTTTTTGGCATTTTTTCGACTTTTTTGAGAATTTTTTTATATATATAAAAACGATAAATATTTTTGTAAACATTTTTTGTTTGTTGCAATATTGAATTATTTTTCGCTTATATTTAAACAAGAAGCAAAAGTTAAATTAGCTAGAAGAACTTCTTAAACTTTGCATTTGCAAGTGGTGCTATTTTATTTTTCGCAGCTGTAGTTTAAGAGTAGCACACAACAATTCAGCTGTAACTCCAGTTTTCAGCCTGACGGACAGTGCTCAGTATACCTTAGAACCGATTTAAAAAAAAAATCAAAAGTATAAGAACAACAACCTACAGACTAGCCAACAACAACAACCAAAAACACGCACGATTGACTTGCAATATCTCCTGGTACGTATAGCATGTCCACCTGTACCTCTCTTCAAAATATGTTTTTGCATTTTGCATATATCAGGCTGTTGCCAATTCGATAAAGACGATAAACCTGCCGTGCGTGCGTAAATAGTCGAGGTACGTGACCCAACGTCCAGAGCTTGATTGGTCTCGCTAAACTTTCTGCTTTTACAAGTTTCATGTTTCACTAAGGCTACAAAGATTTAAATTTAGTATTTTTGAACATAATAATAATAAAAACTTTAATATTCATTGTTCTTAGTACTGATTAAAAAAATATATATTAGCAAAACCTACAGCTAAAAAATCAACAAATATTGAAACAAGAAAGTTTTAGTCGAGACTGCTTGGGATCCCTTGTACCATTTGAGGAACTCTTATTTCAATAATTTTTCGGTTCTTTTTTACCTACAGTTATAAAGCACTGCTGCACTGCAACGTGTGTGTGGATATACGCGTTTGTATGTGCGCGTGTATTTTTGTATGCGTGTGTAAAAGACGTGAGAAATGAATTTTTGTCACAAATGGGAAATCAGGTTATAATGGCTTTGCTAAAAGTATGTATCATGCAGTATAAAGTATAGAACTGAGTCAATATAGCCCTGATTAGACAGATAATCCGCCCGTTCGTATGTATGATCGCGTCGATCTCAATATTAGATCTAGTGACTTCAAATTTGTTTTTCTGAATGTTTCATGATGATAGTCCATCGACAATGAAAGTTATAAGACAACAACAAACAATCTGTCCGTATGTTTGCACGCGTCCATTTCAGAGGATATAAGAGCTAGAGACTTTTTTTTTTAAATTACCATGTATACAGCGCGGAAGTCGAATTTTCCCTCAAAAATCGATAAATAATCCCGTTATTTTCTTATAGATTACAAACATTATCAATAAAGCCTTTGTAGCTAATTTTGAATGATTTTTCATGTTTTTAGCTTTGTCAAGTATTCAATAGAAAATGTAGATCATATGAAAATGCATTTTCCGATCTGCCTCGCCCCTAGAGGGCCGATCGGGAAAATTTTACCATTTTTTTTTAAGTCGGAGATATACAGTATGTGCTCCAAATTTTAAGATTTTAAATTCAGTAACGCCGAAAAAAATTGCGTTCATACGGACAGACGGATAGACGGACAGGACGGACATTGCACAAAACCAATATACTCATTCACTTTCGTGAATGAGTACAATAATTCACTTTCGTGAATGAGTACAATAATTCACTTTCATGAATGAGTATAATAATTCACTTTCGTGAATAAGTAATAAAACGATAATAAAACATGTTAGAACGTTGCAGTCGGGCGTTACCGAGTAGCGTCGAAATAAACTGCGTTCATACGGGCAGACGGACAGCAAGACGGACATTGCACAAAACCAATATACTCGTTTCACTTTCGTGAATGAGTATAATAAATAACACACTTTGGAATCGAACCCAAGACTTCTAGATCGAGCGTGCCGCTGCTAGCAACAACGCCACTACACTCTTCAAAAGTACGATGGCAAAAGTACGATGGCAAAAGTACGATGATCTACATATGCATATATCTACATACTAGCTGGCCCGGCAAACGTTGCATTGCCCTATCCATTATTTCTATGTAAAAAATTGTTGAAAGCTATGTTGTTCAGGTTGGGATACACTCTGATTAATTTATTAATC